AGTTTTCAAACATTTACCCTTGAAACATTATACTTTTGAGTATCAGAATTATTGTTTATGAATATCAGTCAAAATAGAAAAATGGGTTCCCATGACGAACGTTTACGGAACCCAAAATTAGTTACCGTGGTTTCCCATTGGGTAATCCAACGGAACCGAAAAACGGTTACCGTGAATTTCCGAAATCCTCAGGCCTGCTACTGAATTATTTAAATTTTTGCAGCATTTGTTTATAATTGTATGTCTATGTTGTTGTTTGTGTTATTATCATATGCAATTCAATAAGTAGACCATTTCAGAATTCGAAATTTGGGACTCTCTAAATGCATAATGGGACTCATACTGTACTTTTCTGATCAGCGAGTCCCTGGGACTCGCTGCGGGTAAACGGTAAAATTAGCACTGGGTTTGGTCTGTGAACACAGACCCAACTTGTGAATTTCAGACTCTCATGGAGAAATATGCACTCGAGTGGCTTGTTGGATGACAATTTGTTTCTGGCATTGCTCTCCTTGTTCCTTGGAGCAAGAAACTGTCCTATTGCTGGGTTGTTGTGGCCTCTACAGCCCAATGTAGAGGTGAAGGGCTCTGCGGGTGTACTGGTTTGTCTCTTAGTCTTGGTATGTTCTCCGTTTGATCAGTCTACATGATTTTCAGTGAAAGGTGAGCTGGCATTTTGAGCGAGAATGAGAATCTGATGAAACTTGCTGCTGTCTTTCAGGCATTAGTCACAACAGAGTTGGAAGGTGGTGACAGGCAGAAGGCCATGAAGAGACTGAGGGTACCTCCCTTGGGAGCTGCACAGGTGTGACACGCGCACGGATCCATCCATCCATCCATCAATCCATCTTCTACCGCTTATCCGGGGCCGGGTCGCGGGGGCAGCAGCTTTAGCAGGGAAGCCCAGACTTCCCTCTCCCTACCTACTTCTTCTAGCTCTCCCCGGGGGATCCCGAGGCATTCCCAGGCCATCTGGGGGACATAGTCTCCCCAGCGTGTCCTGGGTCGTACTCGGGGTCT